GAAGGGTTGACACATTTAACTGAGATGCCCAAGAGAGATTCTGGAAGAGGGCTCTATCTATCAACACCCCGGTCCTTCCAATTAAAGACTGAGAAAGCTCCCAGTGCACAGATGAATCCCTCAGCGCTGCCACTGTGGAAAGTGTCACTGTTGCTAAACAACGCTGAGCAGAATTAAAAATGAAAGGGTTTCAGGATTTCTTCCCCACCCTCCCCCCAATCAAGGGCTGTAAATCTAAAGGTGAACAAGGATGAGCTCTGCAGAATAGGATAGCAACAGCTGATTCCATCATGGGATTGGGACAATATTGCAGCTAAAGCCAGAAAAATAAGTAGGGAGCTCACATAACTGGAAAACCCTGTGGGGTTAATTTAACAACAGACAAACAACCACCAAACAAACCAATTGGCCCCTGGGGACTGGAACAGCAGATGGTGATAATTAAACACGAGCCAAAAGTCTGAAGCACAGTGATCCCTCAAGCAAGCATTAGATTTGTGATGGACATTTGGGGGAGATAATCAGGTGTGCTTTCTACTGGGTTGAACCCTCTAGAAGGGTTTGGAAGCCAGGGCTCCAGGTCTGCAAGCCCACATCCCGCCACCTTGTTCTCTGGCTTCTGTCTGCAAAAGCCACGTGGTTTTAATAGGCACCTTCCAGACAAGTGGTACCATGGTCTATTTTGGAAAACAGTCTCTGGCAGCAGCTGCATGCTCACAGATAACCTCACAGTAACAAGGCAGCGTGAACAGCCTCTGCACCATCCTACCAGAACAAGTCAACTTGCCCAATTCTGTAACAGGAGTGACTTTAAGTATTCTGAGGAAACCCACATCCTATAGAAATGCCCCGTGCTTTTCTGATAAGACAGAGAGGGAAAATAATTGGGTTCCAGACATTTAATGAAAACTGGGCAGACAGAATGAAACAGAACACAATGCTGCAACTCTGCACTCCGTGACTTCCTACTGGGAGCAAGTGGGAAGACAAGTGGAACTGGCGAAAGAGCCAAGCCTCTTGTCTTCACACAAGTACCTTGGGTAATGAGGAAATGCAGCACGAAAAAGAAACGGCGATACCATGTAAAAAGCAAACAGGCTTGTACTTTGAACCCAGAAAGTCCCCTCGTGCCCTCCTCTGCTTTTGGTGAGATAGGCCAGATCTGTAAAAGCCAGGAATTAGCTAACCAGTACAGCCTAAAGCAGTCCTGATGTCCCAGCACAGCTCCAGGCTCTCCCCAGGGGCTGAGTTGGGATTTCTGTGGTGCCCAGACCTTGGGTGGGCTTTCTGCTGGGTTGTGAATTTCACCCACAGAGAAAGTGAAATCATGGCATCACAGAAGATTAGGGTTGGAGGGACCTCAGGAGGTCATCTAGTCCAACCCCTGCTCAAAACAAGACCAGCCCTAGACAGATCATCCCAGCCAAGGCTCTGTCAAGCCGGGCCTTAAAAACCTCCAGCGATGGAGATTCCACCATCTTTCTAGGTAACCCGTTCCAGTGCTTCACCACCCTCCTAGTGAGAAAGTTTTTCCTAATATCCAACCTAAACCTCCCTTGCTGCAACTCGAGACAATTGCTCCGTGTTCTGTCATCTGTCGCCACTGCGAACAACCTAGGTCCAATGGCTCGTCCTGCTTCTCATGGACCCACTGGTGGCCCTCGCCTCCCACCTCAATAGGAGAGCCACTTCTGCTCTGCAAGTAGGCACTAGATCCCTGAGAGCTAAGAAGAACCAGGGAGGAAGGCGAGGAAATCAACTAGATCCCGTTTCTCCATACTGGACACACTCATCAATCCTGAAAAGAAACTTACCTAAGGAATAGAAAGACACAGAAATAAGCAGACTGTAGGGACTGGCTGTCCAGTTCAAAGCCTGCCCCCATCAACAGATGCCAGAAGCTGTCATTCTCCGAGGTCTTTGATAGCTTGTGGGAAATGACCTGTGGATCCAGCTACCATCAGCAGTCCTAATTCAGTGCACCAAGTGCCATTAGAGCAAGGTAGGCTTTTCCAGTCAGGATTTATTTGCCAAAATGCAATCTGGGGTTAGGTCATATTGTTCTTAAATGAAGCTGGAGTCCGCAAATGGCTTTGGCCAAAAGTAACAAGGAGAAGGTTTAGAAAAGTCAAAACAGGACTGCCCCACATTTTCTGCTGTTTGAACCCACCATTCTCCATATTCAATTCATACTGGAACATTTGGGCTGGTCTTTGCAGAAGACACAAGCCCACACTCACTGAATCCCTACAAGCCCTTAGTTTCCTTTTGTGATCTCCCTCGGATGTACTTCCACAGCAAACACAAGGATGCCACATGCTCCCTTTTGTGCCAGTCTGTGAACTGACAACAAGACGCTTGTTTGGACAAAGTTTGACCACTATGGTCTATGCCTCTGTCAGCCGGCTGACTGCACCTGGAAGGGGGTGGCCAGCCTCACTGGAACACACTAGGCCAGGGGGTTATCGGAATATAAGCCAAGGGTAAGCTCCGTATCAGTCTGAGTTTAGGATATCGAGCCAAAGGTCAAGTCAAGATCATGTGCAGGGCAAGCAGCTGATCTAGGAAGGGAGGTCCAAGACAGGAACGGGAGCAAGCAGGAACAGGCAGGAGGGTGTAAGCCAGAGGTCCAGAGCGTGGAGGCACAAGCCAGGGATCCAGAGCACAGTCAGATTTAGGAGTTTTAAGCAGGCCAGAGACACAGTAAGGTGAGTCTGTTGCCCAGGCAGCTTTCTGCTGTCTGGTCTGAGCTTATATAGCCTGTGTGGGCAGGGCTTCTCCATGTGGGTTGACTCAGCCCGACTGTCTGATTACGTCCATTTGGGGACTGGGACCAGGTCAGCCCCAGCTGGACCCTGACTCATAACAGCAACCATCCCCAATCAAGCTGTCATTTCTCAGTGGAGAGTACTACTGTCTCCTTTGTTGCCAACTATGCCCAAGCTCTCCAGCATGCAAGCCATCCCTAGCAGGGTATGGCATTCATACAGAGCACCCACCCACAATACAACCCCACCCATGGCACCAGCACTGTAACTGCGGCAGACCCCAGGCTGGGGACTCCACGACCGCAATGCACAACTCAGTACATAAAACTCAGCAAGCCCTGGGAAAATATCCCTCCACTTCAGTGCCTAGGGTTGGGGAGAGGCACTTCTCTCTCTTGAGCAGAATGGAAAGGGTGTATAAGTCCACGTAGATGCCAAATTGGGCGAACACAATCTGGCCCACTTGCAGGAATGCTGGGCTCACCCAGTCCCTGCCTCTGGAACAGATATGCTTGGTGGGCAAGCCTCAGGGCCAAGGGCCAGCAGCTTCTATGGCCTAGGACAGGCCACCAGATACCCAGGCAAGGTCCCTCAGGACCTTTCCTTGGATTCAGCAACTCGGGAAGTTTCAAATGAAACACTCTGGGCTCCGCAGACTGGCGTTTGTAAAGGCCGCCTTGTTTTGTCAGAACAGTTCTGACCATCTCTGTTGCTGAGTAAACCGATTTTTTGACAAACAATGCTTTAAAACTCCATGTGCTGCTGTAATGGGATGCTGGAAAAGCAAACGTTGCGCCTGCTCCTTGGCTTGTCTAGGGAGTTTATATTAGACATCCTCAACACTCGATGGAAATGGGCTCTCATTCAATCAAACCCACTTTGGGATTTTTAGGCCTCAATTTACCATGTTATCAAAGAATAATTGTATTTCTTTCTTTCTTAAAGTGAATTCAGAGCTAGTAAAAGGTGCTGGACTGAGAGCCCTAAAGTCTTGCTGATTATGTTACAGTTCCAGTAACAGGATCCCAGCATGTGGCTAAGTGGCTCTACCAAGCTCTGCTAGTGAGAAACTGTTTCTTCACTGGCTCTCTCAAACCAAGATGCGAGTGAGCACTTCACAAGCCTTACAATCCATGGAAAACAAAAACCTGGGCACTGGGGATCCACATCAGGTGAGTAATATACCCCTCAAATGTTCCCTTGACCATTAACACTCTTTACTGATGATAACCCCTTGCCAGCACAGTTACTTCTGCAAGCACTTCAAAGGGCTCCACAACATTTAATGAAACCTTACCACACTCCTACGGAATAAGCATCATCATCAGGAGGCAGAGGGGAAACCAGACCCCAGAGAAATTACTTGGGGACAAGTCCCATGAAGTCCTGACTGAATGCCTGCTGTCTGTACAGGCTCCCACTGACTTCAATGGGTGCTGGATCAGGTCCCAGTCAGTGGCAGAAGTAGGAACAGACCCTAGCTCACTTCTTCCATGGTAACTATTACACCAAGCTCCCTCCAGACCGCTGAGACACCTCCTTCCCTTTATCACCGTTAGGAAGGCAGGATGCTCGGGACTCTGCTTGCAAAACAGATAGGCTGAAAACGCCTGTTCTCGCCCTACTTTAACCATGCAGCATTGTAAGCGCAGGTTTGTTTCATGTGGCCAATCCCAGTGTTCAGAAATCATGAGTCAGCCTCTCCGAATTATGAGACTGGCTTTAAAATCGTAAGATTTGTAATCATAATCATAATTATACGTTAAGTTTTTTATTTGCCAGCTGGTTTCTGAGCCTTCTGGGCACATTTTCAGGCTTTCCTCTGCAATTGGGAAGGCTAGAAACTATTTATCTTTAAAATAAAACTTAAGAGTCTCTTGTAATCAGCAGCCAATCTAGCTTGAATATAAAAGCTTCCCTTTGTTGGCATGGCATCGTGCAGTACATCTCATTTCCACAAGAGAGGCAGTTGGAAGCAGGGCAGTTAAATATTTGTATTCAAGCATCATTCCAACACAAACAGCTAGATTCAAGAAACTTAAAATGGGCAACTCTAATTATCTTCATCTATTACTCTTGATTCCCAACAAGGAGACAAGAAAGAGAGATGTCTTTCGCTGAAATCTGTGGGCTGCAAAATCAAGTTACTCAGATAAATGACATGCTGTTGCCCTGTGAATCACAGTCTTTAATACGATAGCAAAGCTCAGCCACAACATTTTTAATACTCACATGAAAGCCGGCAAATTTCCAAACTAAGGCAATCCAGGCAGGATTTTGGTATGTTTGTATAAACAGTTGCTTTTGTTTAAAATGGTAAAAATACAATCAAACCACTTCTGCTCAAGGGCAACAGTGAAACTGGCTTCTGCGCTCTCTGACATCAAATCCGTAAGCTCCTCCAAGCATCTGAAGGACAAACCTAAAAGATGCCAGAAAGAATTGGGATGAACTCATTAACAAGAGCATCTAGCCTATTTACCTAAGTATTTATACCATGCTCATTGCTTTAGTAACAAACAACTTTTCCCCGTCTTATTAAGCCAAGTGATCCCAATGTGAAGGGCTTGGGCCTCCAGCCTTACAGTAATTACATACAACACCCTCCCACCTTACCCCCCAGGTCCATAGGGTTGCAAAGTTAAGCACCAAACAGTCATGACTTGCCTGGATGATGGTTGTCCTTGCAACCTTAATTCCATCGTGCACATACACAATGCCTTGCTACAGCCTGATATCATGCTATTTTTTTTTCCATTGGAGCCTGGTCTCACCCAGTGCATAGGGTGGATAGAGCTCAGTTAATAAGAAGCTATTTGTAATATCAGAAGACCATAAGATGTACGATACTGGGGCCCAGTAGCCTGCTTCCAACAGTGGCTAACAGTAGATGCTTTAAATGGAAAGTATATGAACTGTGCATGCCTCAAACGACACAGCTCCTCTCATACCCTCTATGGTTGACATCAGTGATTTAGGCATGTCAGAAAATATGTCCCTGACTGTTTTATTTAACGGCCCCCAATGGAATTGTCCTCCATAACTTTGTTTAATCCCTTTTGAAACCTGGTTATACTATCTGCCTCTATAGCCTCCCGTGGTAATGAGTGCTGGACGTCAATTCACATTTTGTACTTTTCTCCTTGTTCAGAGCACGGCCTTTTTCTCATTTAATGCACATGTTCAAATGCTGCTCAGAAGGCAATAAATACTCATGCTCCCCTGGGCTTTTCTACTTCACTTCTCACTGGTATCCAAATGCCTCACAAATATGAATTAATGCATCTTCTCAACACCCCTGTGAAATGAGGGTGCCGCAATGTCCCAATGGGAGCTGAGACAGAGAGATGAGGGTCAAAAGTAAGAAATGATTTTGGGTATCCACTTTAAGACTCTGAAGTTTGATGTTTCCAAGTACTTTACATGACAAAGCAGTTTATAAACCAGTGTTTCCACTAGCTTCAGTTGCAGCTGCGAGTGCTCAACACTTCCACAGACCAGACTGTGGGGTCTCAAGCCGGGCTCTCAGAAAACAAGGAATGTGCAATGAGTGGCCACCAGTGAACATCCTGCTTTAAGTAACTTCCCCACACCGGAACACTGTACGAGATGCAGCGATGGGGTCAAATTCTAAGGCAGCACTCAACAGCTTTAGCAACCACACTGGGTTTTTCTCCAGACCTTAAAACCACTATGTCAGGAATGCTCAGTCCCTGGCGGCGGGCCCAATCTGGCCCGTGGAGCCATGCCATCTGGCTTCCAGGGATCCCCACAGGTCCAAAAACTTGGGGACATGGAAGTGATGGCAGAAACTGCCACATTTCTGCTGCCAAATTTCTGGACCTGTGGGGAGCCCTGACAGCACACTAGATTGGCATGTGGAGGAGGCCCAGAGCTCAGTTTGGGCATACAGGGGCCAGATGAAGGTGGCACAGGGCTGATATGGTGGCATGGGGCTGAGGGAGATGGCATAGGGCTGATGGAGGTGGAGTAAGGCATTGGGAAAGTGATGCAGAGCTCAGGGAGGCAGCATGGACCCCCAGGAGGCAGCGCAGAACCCCTATCTGAGAGCACAGAGTCCTGATCCCACATACAGGCCCCAGGAAAGCAGCATGTGCCCCTGATTCAGTGGTGCAGGGCTGAGGGAGGAGGTGCAGGGCCTGATCAGCCCCACGCCTATTGTCATCTGGCCTATGTGACCAAAAGGTTGAGCACCTTTACATGACACGATTCTCCAATATTTTGAGTCAAGTGAGCAGTATTAGGTGGTTATCTTCTGTGCTGACCAGCCACCCACAGAAGGCGAGACAAACACTTGGCCAGCGTTATTTGCTGATGGCAGAACCATGCTGAGACTCGGGGATCTCAGGTTCTACTTTAGATCTTGGGGGGGGGAGTGTTCTCCAGTGGTCACAGACCCTTACACTGCTGTTTCTCTCCAAACCAGGGGCTGGCATCCTATTGATGGTCCGCAGGCTGGATCCAACCTATAAAGAGACTGGATCGAGCCTGTGTAGCCATGCAGCAACAGGGGCACCTTCTCTGCCTTGCAACGTGCATTCCTCTGCTGCATGCTGCTCATCCTCCCTGCAGTGCCCAAGCCACTGCAGCCACACCAGCCCTCCCTGCTCCGTGCTGAGGGCTGCTCCCTCAAGCCACTACTGCAGCCTCTGCCTATCCTCACAGCCAAATTCAGCACTCCCCATCACTGGTGCTTTGTGGAGACAGGAAGCAGAGGCTGCAGTAGTGGGGCAAGACAGTATCCCTCAGCACAGAGAATGCAGGGCTGGGGTGCTGCAGATGGGGTGCTATGGAGGGGATCAGCAGCCTGAAGCAGTGGTTAGGTTACAAGCAATGGCTCATCCTTCTTACAAGGTTGCTAAGCCTTCTCCCAAACTTTCTGATCCACATCTTCCAACCTGTCTCTGCCAGTCCTGTCTCTCTTCACCCCATATTTTAATACTCCTCAGATCCCAGCTCTTCCCATCTCCTTGCCCAGCCCCTCCCTGTCTATTCTCTAACTTGAGTTTGAGTCTATTCCCCAAGCTCCTTGCCCTAAACTATTCCCTCCAGCCTCTCCTAAGGTCCAGCTCTTCACCTTATGAATTTGTGCGGGGCTGTTTCCTACTCCATGCTGCCTGAGTGCCAAGGGGGAAGCTTTAGCCCAGGAGAGAGAGTTTCTCTGCTCTCAGCTCTTGTGCCTGGCTCCACTCCAGCCTGAACCAGTAGCAAGTAGCAATGGAAAAGAAATGCTCTCTCAGCCCCTGCAAGCTTAGACTGAAGCATGCTCGGTACAGATGGGATCTTCTGCAAATTTAGCTTCTAAATTATAACAGGTCCTGACTGAGCATATGTGAGTAGAGCTTTCCCAAGGGGTTATAATATGGCCAAACTTCAGTAGTTCTTCTTGGGAAAAGTTAAAGGTTCCTGTCAACAGGGCAGTCATCTGCCAAATGTCAAGACCCTTTTTCGAAATATGAAGGCACTAGAATCTTTCAGTGAAACAACTGGAAGGATTTTAACTCGGCCAAAACAATATGCTCATTAGCCTCAAGTTCATTTTGAGAAATGACTGAACCACTTTTGCTGAAATAATAAAACCTTATTCAGCCAGAGTTAGACACCCACTTAAAAGCACCGGAAAAAAGTCTTATAACGGGAAGTGTCAGTATAGCTCCTGGGAGCCACGCATATCCAAGAACTTCGCAGACATCAGTTCATGCTCACAGCCCCCAGGTATGCGTTACTCTCATTCTGCAGAACATAATGAACAAAGCAACTGACTTTTCAGTAGCAACATCCCAGACACGCTCCTGAAAGCTCCACAAACCTCTGGAGCCGGAGCGTCAATTCTGGTTCTGGTTAGTGCAGCTGCTAAAGTGGGCTCCTACGGGCCTACTCAGCTCTACTGCTTCCCACCTCAGCAACAGGATAGCCATGTTCACCTGCCCTGTACCCAGGTTAATTACTTTTGCCTCTGCTCAGGATGCTGCCAGGTGCTGTAGAAAAGTTGGAGACCAATTGTCCAAATTTGGGACAAAAGTCCCATTTCAGGGACTTCTTGAGGACACGCCTGGACACATCTCCCAATTTTGAGATGGCTGGTTGCTTTAAAAATGTTTTTTAAATGAGTTACTCAAATGCAGTGTTTTCTGGTTTTGGAGCACCTGTAATGAAAGCACTGTGAGTTGTATTGATTGTGTCTGCATGGCACAGCACTGCTGGAAATCCCAGCATGCACCGGGCTCAGAGTGAGATCAGAAACCGATTCACTGAAAGAAACCTCTTTTCTGGATCAGCCAAAGGGCAAAGCCCTGTTTTCCAAGCCTTCCATAGGAGCAGCTCCCACTGAAGTCGCTCAGTGCAGCTGAGTCACTGTGTCACCTTATCGCACTGTCCAGGCCCTTCTCCACCAGGTTCCAGATACTCTTTCTGCAGGCTCTGGGGAACTGCTGTTAAAGGCAGAGGGGACTGTTCAAGTTTCAAAGCACAAAGCACTACCAGGAAACCAGAAGCCTTGTTTCAGACCCAGGCCTTCTGGAGATCTTACCTAGCTGATGGAGCAGTCTGGGAAAGAGTGATGCTGAGCAGACACGAACTGGAAATCTCGGGAGAAAAATGCCTTCCCTGCTCTCAGTTCTGCCTCCTACAGCTGCCATGCATAAGGACAGCAAGTTTAAGACTCTGGGATTTCTAGGCTGACAACATTCCCTTTCAGAAAAAAATAATTTAGGTAGTATGTCAGGAAAACTGCTAAACTAATGGCAAAATCTCTGTTAACATAGTTGTGATAGCATCTCCTCAAAGAAGGGGCTGGCCATTCCTTCACTTGGGACTTTTAAATCCAGACTGGAGAAAGAAAATGCTCCGCAGGGAACAGCTCTGCAATTGCAAACTGCTTGTATCAGTCCCTCCAGCAACAGCCCTGCCTGCCAGCCTGCATGCTAATTAGATCCACAATTGCTATTACAGACTAAGCCCACAGAGAAGTCACCAGCAATATTCTGGTAATTACTGTTTATTGTGGGAAAATGACAGATTATTAGGCCCTGAAAAGTAGAATGGCCTTGCCAGATTGCACACAGAGGCTGTTCTAGGCGTGACTAGGTTATGGCTATGCCCGAGTCCTCCCTGGACTAGAACTGTCCTGACTGCTTTCCCTCAGTGCACAGAACAGCCTTGGACAAGCCAGAGGTCTTTAGAGCAAATGAGAAAAAAAAACAAACCTTGGGCATAGACACAAGGAGAAGTGTACACATGCATCTAGATGCACGCACAGAGCTAGGCACTTTCCTAAAACTACACACACAGACATACAAAAGACACACTCAAAACACATGATACACTCAAAAGGTGTGTACATGCACAGCTGCACACAAATATACACCTGATCCCCAACACAGGCAGCTACCCATCACTCAGCTGCATACAC